TATATTTCTGATTATGATTGTGATTACTACTTTTAAGAGGATAATCAATATTAAATATAACTATATCATAATGAATTGCAAGTTTTCAGGCATTATCAAAAGTTTCAGGTACTTGATAGGCTACTTTTATCTTTGTTATAGGTTTAAGATCATTAATAAAGTGTGCAACTTGATCTAGTTCTCCTATTCCTTTAATTTGTTTTATGATATTTCTAAATTTAATACCATACTTCTATACAGTACTAGTTTGATAAAATTGATGAAATTGATGATGAAAATATTATTGATAATTGGGTGGTTGGAATGCTTTATGGACTTTAGTGAGAAATATTTTCTAATTTTCAAAGACAGAGTTTTCTTTAGCAGTATGTACTTTATTCAAGTATCAATAAAGAGTGATATCTTCAAGACCAGTTTTAGTATATAGGATGTATATTTGTTTATTTATAATTCCTTGAGTGTGTAATATTCCAGTTACTTATAATATTTAAACATTAATATTCTCATGTGATTCTCCTTTATATTTGAAATCTTGAGAGATATTCTTGATGTAGGATTATGTTATTGATCATCACTATTATTACCAACATTATCAAGAGTAATAATGAGTTGTTACTATTATTGGATGAGATTAGTGAGATCAGTGAGAAGTTGTTAGAATTATTCACTTAAGATATCAGGATCAGACATTATGTATATATATGTATATGTATGTGAATATATGTATTACTGATGAATAAGCAATATGTTATTCACCAATTGAGAAAGTGTTAAGAAGAAAGGAGTTAATTTTAAATGTATATATATATATAATATTAATCTTTTCTACTATTATTAAAGTTGTAATCTTCTAGTTACATAGTATAATATATTCAAATAATTTATATAGAAAAATCAAGATATAATATTATATCAGAAAAATTCACACAGAAGATTCAAGATATAAATGATATTAATTGAAATAAAATTCACACAAAAAACTAAATCAAAAATAGACAAGAAATTATGTTTTAAAAACTTATTTTTTATTTAATATTTCATTATTTATTAAAATTACAGAACAGATATAACATCTTTAAATAATAAATTAATGTTATATAAAATTAATAATAGATAATACTTATATGGTAGTATCTCCAGTAGATACTTATTAATGAATAAATAAAGAAATAAATGATTATAAATAAAATATATAAATTTAGTAATATGCTAATTAAATTAGTAGAACAAAAAAAAAGAGAAATTCTACTAAGAAACTATCTATAGCTAAAATAACTTAAATAAATTGAGTGACTTTTCTTGAGATGATTAGGTGATTATGGCACAGTAAGTCATGTATAGTGCAATATGTGGTATAGTAATAATCTGCAAGATAAAAGATAAATATAATATAATTATTAATAATTAATCTAATTTTGTTACAAAAAATTTTTTTATTACTAATTAAAAATAAAATTTATTAATAAATCTATAAAATTTATAAAAATTATTATAATAAATTTTTTTTTAAATTATATATTTTAATTTAATTTTTAATAATATAAAAAATAAAAAATAATTATTATATAATATATAATTAAATTTAAATTTAAAAAAAATTTTTTAAAATTTTAATTTTTAATAAAGAAATAATAGCTATAGTCTGTTATAAAAATTTTGATATATCAAATAAATATTAATAGATTATTTTTTCAAAATAAATTTTTAATTCTATTTTATTTAATTAAATTAATATAAAAACTTTTATTATATATCTTTTATAAAAAAATTTTTATTAATAATAAACTTTTTTTAATTATTATTTCTTAAATTTTACTATATAAAATTTGATTAAAATTAATATAAAAATTATATAGTAAATAATTTAATTATTAAATTTTGAATCTTAATATCTTTATAATTACTAATTTAATTTTTATAAAATTCAGGATATATATTTATCAAATATAAGATAATAATTTACTTGTGTAATTTGAAGTTTTAATATTGTAAATTAATAGTGATAATATTTAAAATATCTTTTTTTTTTAAAAAAAATTTATTTTAGTTTTTTAAGTAAAGTAATACTTTATTTATTATTAAATTAAAGTATAATAAAATAATTAAAATAATATAAAAAGTAAATTAGATCATTTTTATTTAATATAAAAAAATTATAAAGATTAGTTAAAATTGAATGATTTTTATTAGAAGTAATTATTAATTTTTATATTGATATATTAATTTTCTTGCAATAATTCATATAAGAGATTTTTATTATATTATAAAGTTTTTATATATTCTAGATTGTGTTATTACTAGATATAAAATCAGAAAATTTGAAAATATTTCAGATCTTATTATAAATATAAAGATTTATTCTTTGTTTTTATAGAAACTTGAGCTTAAAAATACTTGCTAAAATTATTTTGAGAAATGCTAAAAAAAGTATATCAGATTATATACTAATGATTTATTAATTTTGACTTTTCATGGATCTTTCATATTATCAAAATTCAAAAAGTATACAATAATTAAAATGAGTTAAATATACAGTCAGATCTCAATAATCACACCTCTTTATACACATTTTTTTTATAAACATCCTTTTGAATTTTCCAGTTAATAATTAACTATATTTAAAAAAACCTCACTAAGCAGCCAATTTTACTTTTCAAATGTGATAACTATAGAGAAGTTGGCCTGGTACTAATAATTTCAGATTTGACATTTCATCATATGCCAAATTCCAAAAGTAATGCACTTAATATTTGATAATATATTTAATTATAACAAGCTTTATTTACCTCTATTTGTAGATTGTAGAAAAAAAGCGATTCTAGATCTTTGATATTTGATTAAGCTATTTTAGTTATAAATTATACATATAAAAAAGCTATCCTAAATCTTTGCTATTTTGGTTAAAATAATAAGATTCTTAACGGCATCTTCAACTATTCATAATGAAATTCATTATAAATCATAACAACAATTTCTCTTACAAGTCTGTTCGATTCTAATAATACCGAATACATTGCTGGCCCAGTGCTAATATTTCGATTTAAATTCCTCCGCAAGTCTTTTACTGTCTTCTAAAATCCCTTTGCTATTCTACCATTCGCGTTACGAAATAATAGCATAACAACTTTTTCATCATCATCTATTTGCAAAGAATGTCTTTTTCCACCTTGATTTTCTGCAATCTTGTTATAGATGAAATAGTATAGTGAAATAAACTCTCAACTCATCACAACCTTCAAAATAAATAGAATAAAGATGAAAGGATGCTTTGTTATCTATCACCTTTTGAACATCAAAAAAGTGACAACGTAAAAAATCTGATGCTTCAAATATCTGAACCGAAATTATCCTCTTGTTAGGAACATAACAGATGAACAACATTCGGTCTTAAAATTAATTGTTAAAATATCCACATCTTCATAATAGCTGTAATTTGTATCAGTCCATAAACTATGAATGACAATAGATTGAATGGAATAGTCCTATTTTAAATATGTTTAATATCAAATAATGTTAAATAATAAGCTTATCTTAACCATCTTAACACTAGATTTAAATTGTCACTGAATTTATCTTTCACATCGTTTTGTATCTTTAAATTCGATGTTTCATAAATATTTTAACAAGATCCAAGTAAGACAAGCGAAACAATAGATAAAGATATGGTGATGTAAAGATAGAAATTATATCATTATCCATCTCTGATATTTGTCTATACCCTGTGGCAAGAAAAGAACTAAATAAAAGCATACCTTTATTGCCGATATGAGTTGTTCAGGGATTGGATAACTGATAGATGGATGTTTTTTCTGCAGACAGCTTCTGATCGCATGAAGAAATTATCCACTTATTAGATGTAATTTTCCCTCCAGTATCGTTCTCTACTTGTCCAAGAATGAGTTATTTTATCTATAACTATACGAAGGATGTGCCTAGAACCTTAAATCCAAATATATAGTAAGAAAGTGGCTTCGAAAACCAAAGTCCAATTTTTAAAGTGATTGCTGAAAGGGATCAACTTATAAATATAAATGTGTGCCAGGTAACGCCGCCTAATAAATTTATATTTCTTCACAAGATTATTTATTTTAATGTATACTTATTTATTTTCGATAAAGTTAATTCTATGTAATATAAGATACTGCGAAAATAATAAATCAAGATAACCTTTTTTGCAACAAAATCTTATTATATTTAAAATTTGATTAAATAGCATCAATTCAATTGCTTTATGATGGTCACCCATTTACATATACATGTACAGTTCTCAGAATATATCGCCCGATTTAAAATTATATAGTAAAGCATATATGAAATTTTTTTCACGATTTTTATAATTAAAACAGTTCTTTTACCTTTAAGTCTCTCACAGATAAGAATCATTTTCTGAAAAATATAATAGAAATAATTACTAAAAAAATATGAATATGTATATAGCTTGAAAATTGCCATTTTTTATGTAAAGCATGGGAAAATTTTTTAATTTGCATTTATTTCAATTAGCTTTAAATGATATAAAATTTTTAAATAATTCCTAAAAAATATGAACATGCATTAGCTTGAAAATTTCCATTTTTTATATGTTTTACTATATAATTTTGAGCTGGGCGATACTTTGTAGAAAATTTATTTAATTTTGTTGGTCAAATGTCTTGGTATATATCAGACAATAATCTTTGATTTTGATGTCTGTAATCAAACTATATAAACTAGTTAGATTTGCATCGTTAAATAAATCACTATACCGTTGAGATTTGTCTCACGAATTCATAAATCATCTCAGCTAATTATTTAGTCTGACAAATTACAAGATAATTTTCGTTAATAGTATCCTTCTTAAGCATCAGTAAAAAAATGACGCAAATTATTATTTTCTTCTATTTATAAGCCTATCATTTTACCTTTTTTCTCTCATCATCATCTTCTTCAAATATTACTGAATAATAAAAATACACTATAGTTTATCATTTTTTCTGTCTACTTATTGTGAAAGTAAAGTCATGTTTCCAACCGTTATGGGCGAAGTTCAACGAGCAGTAAATGAAATGCACCGCCTTGCGGATACAATGAATGGAATGACTGGAACATACTCTCCTTGTGGTCAATCTGCTAATCGCCGTCTTGGTGACGGCCGTGGCAACGCAGATGATCAAGTTGCCTGGCTTCCCTACGTCGATGGCAAGAAACAAACTATCACTTGGCTTTTTTTTCGTTTAAAACATTTTTCGAAACATTTTTTTCGTCGCTATATTAATACATGTAGTTTACAATTTGGAGGATCAGTATGTCGTTCAAGCGGAACTTCCAGTAATTATGTTCTTTTTTAAGATATAAGGCTATAAAATGCATTATAATGTTAACTTAGTGCATAATAAATATAGGGAGTTAGGAAAGAAGAAGTTAATCTTGAACTTCGTGATAATAGCGAACTTGTAATCTCGGGAAAAACGCAAGCTTCTTCTGATTTTGATCGTAGTGTCATGACAGTCCGCGAAAGATCCTTCGGCAATTTTAGGTGACCATGATGATTTTATTATTTATGAATTTATTAAATTAGTTTTTATTAATTTTGTTCAAATAGGCGTGAATTTGTTCTTCCCGGACAATTGCAAACTGGGAAAGTGGAAGCCAGAATGGAGAACGGAGTGTTGGAAGTCAGGGTAAATAATGCTGATACTATTGATGTTGTTGATGCATGAATCATCCCATTTTAAATAAGCCCACTAATTGATTCATTCTAATTAGCTAATGAAAACTAAACCTGTCACGGAAAAGATTAACATCTCTTAAACTTGATATATAATCCTTGTTTTCGTTAGCGGATTTTTAATAATTTAAGAGATCACTTAAAATTAACAACAAACTGCTCACTTTAAAACGGTAACTGTTAACAAAGAATATTTGTCTTTTGAATTTGCTTTATCTCACTAAATTAAATCATTTAAACTTGAATGTGAAATAATGCTATTCATGCGTTTAATTGATACTATTAATAAATAAACACGTTCGTGTGTTTTCGTTTTATAGATGAGTATTGATATAGACAAGAAAGAAATTATAACAGTATGAGAGTTACTAACTATATAAATTTTCTTTTTAAATGAAGTATCTTCCTAAGTTTAGAAATGAAATGTGTTAGCCATATATTACATGTAAAAATTAATGCGCCGATTTTGATTAAATTTGCTCTTAATAACGGAGCGGAGATATCGTTATCCGTAACCGAAAAAAACAATAATTTGATTGAAAGCTGAGTCACGTAACACAATTTTCTACCGTTTAATTTATATACATATATTAATATGTATTGTGATTGCGTACGTAACGTGTGTATGAGTAACAATGGCCTGACGATAATTAAATTGATAATGGGGGAATTTGTGTGTGTGCGAAAGAATTAGCTTGAAATGTATAAAGCATATATATTCTTAGTAAACAGTTTTTTCTTTACTCATTTACGTAAAAACGATTATAAACGGCTTGCCATGATCACTTTTTTTCCTCTTACTATTAGAAGTCTGCCTCATCTATTACGACTGGTCGCAATAGAAAAGCATTAATTCATCTATTATAAATTTTCAGCACATTCATTCTAGACATATACACTCTGTATTATAAATCTTAAATTCATAAAACTATTTATCAATTACGAAAAATGAATCTCAGCATTCTCAAGATTCTTTTAATTCATGTATTCTTTATGGTTTTCTTTGGAATGGTAATTGCAATGCCAATGCCCACACCTGAACCCAAGAAAAAGAAGAAACCTGCTAGTCACTCAGGAGATGGAACATTCTTCGATCCGGGACTTGGTGCTTGCGGGACGACAGCAAATGATAATTCGATGATTGTTGCATTGGCAGCTCCAGATTTCGATCCATCAACACCTAATGGAAATCCAAATAAAAACTCCTTATGCGGAAAACGTGTACGTATTTTCCGAAATGAGAAATCAGTAGATGCTATTGTGCAGGATAGATGTCCACCTTGCAAATCTGGCGACATTGATATGTCACCCGCAGTATTTAAGCATATAGCGAATCCATCAGAGGGAAGGATCTTAGTTTCTTGGCAATATATATAAAAAATGAAGTACAAAGTGAAAATTTACTATGAATACATAATTTTTATGCATTTGTGAAAATCTTTTATTTTGTATATTATATAGTGTTTTTTATGTATAACTAAGATAAGTTAATAGTTATTCGGTAAAATTGAGAATTATCAAAACTTTCTGTTAATAATAATTATTCTTTATTTGAGTAAAATTTCTGAGCTTGCGAACGTATACTAATATCAATTTTGACTGAGACGAATAATTTTGAGCATATATGCATATATATATATAAACGATACTTGTTTGTTTGATTTCATCAAACTAGACAGATAACAATAAAGCTATATTTTTCAACTAATAACTAAAAGTGTTTGCCATACAATCCCCTTTTAAAAATTTAAATTTAAATTTAGTCCCAGTTTTTGCAAAATAAATTAATAATTACTTGCAATTTCTTCAAAATTTATCTACTATTAGGATGGTGAATTAATGTAGCACACTTCGGTGCTAACTAGTTTGAATCATACACAAGCCTGGAGTGGGTTTAATATTACTCAAACTGGCGCTCTGTAACCTGCTAACGGGGTAACCTGGATTAGGATATAATTTTAGACTACATAATTGTGGGTTAAATCAGAATGAAGCAAGCCAGAGTTGGCTAGAATTAATAAATTAATTATTGTATGTTATCTTTGAATATGGTATATTGCATGCTACTGTTCGTCTAGTATTGGGATGTATGCATATCGATATAAAAATTATAACGATAAGAAAATCGGTGTCTATAGAATGAGTGCCTCTCAACCTCCCGACAGCTAAAATCTGACATACATCTACCTAACATCCTGACATAACATTGCAACACCCAAAATCCCGAAATACCAAATTCCGACACACCCAAAATTCTGGCACCAAAAGACATACCCAAAATCTCGACACTCAAAATCTGGACATATAAAGATCTTAACATGTCCTTATGATTCTAGATCCTTTTAAAGACCACGTTAACCATGATTTTTGACATTTCGATGTCACTTCGTGTCAATATACGTATATTTATCAAACTCGCGTATGTTGGCATCAATTTTTTTGTATAATTTTGTTGGGATTTGGGTTTTCGGGAGGTTGGATTGGAATATCTTGAATAAATTATGATTAGAAAGGAATCTTAATCAGCAAATTTATAATAAAAACAACTTTAAATCGTAAAATGAAAAATGGAGTTCTGAAAACGGATTCGGTGAAATAGGAAAACTATTTTTTTATTCATTTGACTCGCATCCCAAAACATAAAGAAAAATTTTTTTTCTATTTTTTCTCGTTATCCACTTATTAATTGAACTACATATACATTGTTCACCTTAACACGTACGACATTGAATTACAAGTTTAAAAATTACACAACTTAAATAACTTAATCAAATTTACCTGCCAAAGATTTTTGATAGTCGGATTATAAATTTTTTCAATTCAATACATATTTGCTAATGCAAACATAATTCCAGAATATGACTATTACAGTAATTCAAGTTTACATTATTAGAACAAAATTCTGAAGTAGTTATTGAAGCAAAACCTAGAGTATTACTCCGGAGCAAATGAACAGGATTTGGCTGGGTTTGTCTGGCTCCATTGAAGTACCATTAACAACCCTACTACTAAACATACGCTAAATTTAGTCAATGACAAATCTACGCAATACATGTACATGTAATTGTTTAACGCACCATTTATATGCAAAAGGTCTAACCAACCCTGCATAATTTGTGCATTTTTCACGATGAAAGAAAAGCGTTCTAGACAAACAAATGAACACACTCCGTGTTTTACATGCATCTTCTCAATTAAAGTCACGGTTTCTGGAAGTCCAATTTAGTAATGATCTTCTGGTGGGCGTTATGGTGAGAAACTGAAAATGGCAACTGATCGCTAATTCAAAACTTCAATGGGTTTTGAAACATTATGTATTTTCAGTGCATAAAGTCAAAATCATAAAGATAATCGATATTCAAACTGGATAATAAGTACATGTATAACAACAATGTTAAGATTCGAATTGGTAACATTAATAAAATAGTCAATCTGAAAAATTGTGCATAAACAAGAGAAAAACGAATTTTCTGAAACCATTTAACTGCATAATACATGTAATACATTAAAGAATTTAAATATTTTTTTTAACAAACTTGGCGCGTATTCATACAAGTTTTTTGACCAACATTTGCGATTCAATTTCATTCCTTATTTCCAAAATAGGTATCTTGTGTCAATTTTACTCAATTATCTTTGTCTTGAAAAAAAAATGCAAAGCATGATCCTTTTTTGCATTACAACAAATTCCTTATTACTATGATGATTCCCGCTGTTTTTTGAAACGCATTTCTGCACAATATAAATGTGGATTAGTTATTGCTTAATTGTTAATATAATAAATGTTTTTTTCCGATTGCTTTGCATGAGTTATATTTCTGAATAAATACATGTACATGTATATGATTCGATTTGATTATGTAAAATAAAGTTATTATTAAATAGAAATCTTCTTTATTATCATTCATTATACATGTATATGTATATTTTTATCTTGATAAAAACAAAAAAGATGGTTAATCTAGTCACACCACGAATTCAATTGGTTCGTTCATTGATCCCTCTACTCGATGTTAATACATACATACATGCACGCCAATTGATCTATTGAGAAATAAACACATAATAGGAAAAATTTTCTAATCTATTTTCCTAATTTAGTATGAATAATTAATTATCACTATTATTGCTGTCAGTCAAATTATTATTGATTCACAGAATTCACAAAAGTATTTCATGATCAAATGCAACAACATGTAGGGATAAAAAAATACGGAGAAATTCTCGCCGTCGCTGCTGTTGTTAAAGATGCAATGTATTGAGACATCAATTGTCTGTATGACAAACAATCATTATTTGTTGTATATATGTGGCTCTGTCAATAACAAACAGCGACCAATAATATTGTTAATGGCGTAGACTTTTTTTATATAAAAGGCGATGAACTCATCTTTCTTGTCTCTTTACCTCATCGGCTTTGCTGTTGTTGTTCCTATTTATTCAAGTTTAAATCGTTATTCGTATTAAAATTACGCTGCGCGTATTCTTTATCTTTGACCTGGCGTTGAAGTTTTAAGACATTAAAAATCTTTAATTATAAAAATCGGCTGTGTCGTATTTTTTATAAAAAGAAATTAAAAACTTTTTAAACCATTTCAACATAAAATTTATTATTTCTTTGTGATTTAAACTATAAATCAACTGCAAGTCACTCATCATAACATTAAACCCAAAAAGTTAAATTGCACCATAATGAAATTCAGTCTAATCAAAGCTCTCGTTTTCCTCATTGTTCTCATGTTGGTAATCGAAACTGTAGTCGATGCTTCGCCATTTCCAAAGAAAAAAAAGAAAAACACAAAAAATCTCTCGAGGAAGAAACGTCCACTACCAACACCGCCATCCAGCAGCACCCCAACCAGCAGCCCATCCAGCAGCACCCCGACCAGCAGCCCAGCAAGCAGCCCATCCAGCAGCCCATCCAGCAGCTCATCCAGTAGCTCAACCAGTAGCTCTACCTGTTCTGGCTCACATTCAGGCGATGGCACATTCTACAATCCTGGTCTCGGTGCTTGCGGTCAAACAGATGACGATCAGTCTATGATTGTTGCACTGAATGCACCAGACTTCGACCCATCTACACCTAATGGAAATCCAAATAAAAACTCATTATGCGGTAGACAAATTCGAATTTGCTATAATGGAAAAACTGTCGTAGCTACAATCGAAGATCGGTGTCCCGAATGCGCTTCGGGAGCTATTGATATGTCGCCCGCGGTGTTCAATCAACTTGCGGATCCCTCAGTGGGCCGTCTTCATGGTGTACAATGGGATTATATCTAACCATTTTTGGGTTTTATTGACGCATTATTAGTAATTTGTAATTGAGACTTTATTATTTCAAAAGAATTCTGGTTAGTTCTTTAGGACGATAAAAAACAAATTATCACTGTTTTATTTTCAATTGCGTTACTAAATTTTCAAAGAACACATACAACTCCTTTATTTTGTATAAATAAGATAAACTTCTGTCATTACTTGTAGTATATTAGATATTATCCTAGAAAATGTAAATTTATTATTATATAATAACAACCACGGTAACAAAAAGCTAAAGACCACAATAAAATATAAATTTGATTATTTATTAAAATAAAAAATTTTTAACGCTTTGTGTAGAGTTGCAAACCAAAGTTAAATATAACTTTGAATTTGATATAACCTTCAATTCTACTTCAGTTTAATTCGGACTACGGTTTTAATAAATCCGATTATTCAGATTAAATATATGGTGGCTCACTTATGAAAACGGACATGAAAAGTTTCACGAAAAAATCCTGGATTTCTACTAAGAATATTCTAATGAATATATTATTATTCTCATTTTAATAAAATTAAGTGATCTGTGCGAATATTTTTAATTAGTGAAATTTTAACTCCAAACAGTTTTGTTATCAGGAAGGATTGACCTAATAAAACATGTGCTTCTTGATAAGAACTATCTACATACTAACTTCAGTTAAATTTGTATCAAATTCGTTTAGTTATTAGATCTTGAATTACCAAAATTAATACTAATAAAAATAATTCAACTATCTCTATTATATTTAATTTGGTACTTTGGATTCTGATAACTAAACGAATTTGATACAAATTTAACTGTAAATTGGTATGTAGATAGCTCTCCTCAAGAAGTACATTTTTTTATTAGGTCGATTCTTTTCAATCCTTCCTGATAACAAAACTGTTTGAAGTTAAAATTTCACTAATTAAAAGTATTCGTATAGATCACTTCATTTTCCTAAAATGGGAATAATAATATATTTATTAGACATTTTTTAAAAATTCTTTTGGCTTTAAAATGAATATAAAACCCAGATGTATTTAATCGATATTGGAAGCGCTAGGAATTTTTTTCGTAAAACTTTTCATGTTCGTTTTCATAAGTGATCCATTGTACAGTTCTGAAATAGGTTCATAAGGATAAATCAATTAGCATGTTCGCCTAACTCTTACTTCGTAGAAATGATGATTGGAGAGCAATTCAAAAGTGTAAAGCTTCTTAAAAAGCTTAAGACAACTCTAAAAGAAGTATATATACATGTATATGTAATACATCATGAACAGGGTTGGCCTTGGACCAGTCCAAAATATTGTCCAAATATCTACATATTAAATTATTAATAATTTTTTCAAAAAAACTTGGACAAGTTGTCCAAATTATCCAAGGGCCAACCTTGATCATGAACGATAATCATGACAACAATCATGACAATGATCATGATGGCGAAAAAATGTCCAATCAAATAGCAAGATCAATGTGTAATGAAAAATTTAAAACAAACATAAAAACTGAAAAATAACTTGTATCTCGAAATTTTTCCTATGAAACTTCTAAAAAAAATGTTTCTTGCGAAATTTACATATACATCTGGTTCGTAATATATAATATAATCACAACTCTGACTCTAATCATATAACCTTAATGAAAATGGTATTAAAATTTTATATCTTATAATTCAAACTTTTTTATCATGACTAAGATTCTAAATAAGCAATCCTCTACGTCATCTTTTTGAAGGTTAAAAAATTAGGAGATTGCTTAAAATTCGGGTAGTTTAGAAATATCTAAAAAAATACTGGATATTGATTGGCTAAAGAATAACTTAATAATGCTGATATATATATTATATAATACTATAATAGTTAAATAATTAATGATATAGAATTAGAATATAATAAGAATTAAATAAAATTATTAATAAAGAGATTGTTTATTCAACTTTTTTAATCTGAAGAGAGAGGATTACTTATTATCAGATATATAGCATCTTTATTTTATATAACAATAAAACTAATTAAATAAGCTTAATAAGATTAAAATTAATTATATAATATATTAATTATATAAAGCTAATATTATTTGATTTTACTATTATATAAATTATAATACTATTAAGTTTAATAATTCTTTTTTATTTATTATTTTTTTTAATAATAATATATTCTTATATTTAATATATTTTATATTTAAGTATTATTTCAAGATTTTAAATTTTTAATATTTAAATTTTCATAATTTTATAATCTGATTTGGATTTTTATTAATTATAATTTTAATAAATTTAAATAATATAGCTCTTTTTATTTTATTTGCTATATTAATTAATAATTTTAAAATATTATTTTTATATATTATAAATTTGATTAGTTTAAATAATAAATAAAATTATTTATTTATATTATTTATATTATTTAATTTAATTTATAATTTATAACTTAATTTTTTGAAATTCTTTTTAATTATAATAACTTATTTTACAGAATTTAATAAATTTAACTATATAGTGATGACCAAAAGTAATGACTCAGGAACTAAATTTACTAATAAAACATAATAAAAATTGAAAGTTTCTCTTTATATTAAAATTTATAATTTTAATAAGAAATAATTTTTATTTTTATATTAAAATAAAGTTTATTATTTGTAATTTAATATATATTTTTTTCAGATTTTTTAGATTTTTTCTGAAAGAATTATTCTAATTATAAAGTTAGTGTAAAATTTTTATTAATTAAATTTCATTTTTAATTAGTAAAAATTTTTGCATTAACTTTATAATTAGAGCAACTCTTTC